CATGGCGTCTATTTACTCAATGACAATCCATATCACCAACTTGTAGAAACTTTTTAATTCAAAAGAAAGATGGAATATCCATATCTTATTGTAATTATTTATTTATTGATTCTTCTTAAAAGTATCTCTTGGAAAATTAATGCGTTTAAGTTATATTACACCTACCATACTGATGTTGGGTTGTTGAGATAGAATCTCAAAGCCAAGTTTTCCCACATATATGATTGAATATTGAATATTGATGATCTATAAGTATTATATTCCCTTAAACTGTGTGTTCTGACCTTTCATAGAAGTATCAATTATAATTACTGCTCAGATTTAGATCTCGCACTTCGCTAATCAGGAGCGAAGAAAGCTAAGCACTACTGGCTGTTAGAAGTACACAAGATTGCATCGGCACCGTTTCTTGTACAAGGTTAAAATTATGTAATGCATTTTTATTTTCATAAACCACTAAATGTAATATATATCAGAAAAAGAATTTATACTGTGAATAGGTAAAATTAAAGGTATCTACTGGTACTTTCTTTATCCTAATTTGTCTGATGATGTTTGATTAGAGATATAGTTTAAACAGAAAAAAATAATTTTAAATTTATGATCTAAAATAAGTCAAAATATATTTGTGTGATTATATATTATCTTATTAAGAATAAATTTAAAATTAAATTTTTTTCTAAATATAAGAAGATGTCATTATTCTTGAAACAGATTAAAAATAAAAGAATATTACTACTACGGGTGCCATACTAAAAATAAAATAGTAGTAATATAAGTACCGAAGAGGGTATCAGCTAGTGGTGGCAAATTGGTTAAAATAAAGCAGTTATCTACTCAAATTATTCATTAAAAATGGGTTGGATAATGAATTTTTTAAAAATGGGTCAAATATAGATAAAACTATATATTATCCATTTAGAAAATGAATAACTAATAAATTTAACTTTTAGATTTGTAAAGCCTTAAATTGGGAGTTCCTCAAGTTTGAGAGACAAAGAATTCACACAAAAATGATCATATCCGTCGGTTAACCTGTTTTTTATCCGTATAAAATATGAGTCGGATCGAATAATTTATCCATTTTTTTATTACCTGTTTTCGACCCGACCCACCCGTTTGTCATTCCTAGACTATCAGCTAAACTGGGATAAAGAGAATATTATAATTATGGATTGGCTGTTTGGGCAACAAAGGGAAGTGTACGTAAGATTCATGATTATGGTGTGATTAGAAGCTACCCAATCCCAATTCCCCATAATGCCAACTCAGCAATATACCCAATCGGACGTGAACCGATTGCTTGAACCGGTAAAAAAGGTAAACCTTGTTTGGAAATCCGTCAATATGGAAACCTTGTGTGTGTATATATATTTGGGGATAATCCTTCTGTTAAGAATTGCTTTGTGTTTTTGCCAACGCTCTTCTAAATCTAACCCAACCACCCCTTTGAAAACACCCTGACGACACTCGCTACCTACGGTCAAACCACGAATTCTCCTTAACTTGAGTCAAACTCGTTCTTCTACTCACTCTTTTCACCTTCCTTAGATCTCTGATTCAAAAGGTGAATTTCGCGCTCTCTTTCTTAATTTCCTCATTGTTTTTCGTCTTCACAGGGATCTTGATTCCATTTTTCTGTGTTTTCTTCGTTATCTTTGTTTGGATCCCTTTTTATTTTTTCCTTATGTAAAATTTGATAATGCGCTCGCAATTTCGCTGTTCATTTTTATTTCTGTGTTCAATTTTGTTTATTTGGGAGAATTTGTATGCCTAATCGATGACTTAAGTTTAGGCTATGTGTAGAATTATGTACATAATGTGCTCTGGATCTGATTGATGCTGTCGTCTTTGCTTTTTTCCCCTTTCTTACGGTGCTTTTGAGTTACAATTTTGCGTAGGATTTCGTATTTTAAGTTCTATTTAACTAGTGCTAGAAGCTAGGGTGTTTATGTAATCCATTTTGTCGTTTAGACACCTCTAGGAATTCAGTGTCATCTTCTGCAGCTATGAATTTGCTTTTACGCCCGAGTTTCCGGGTTAAATCTTTGTTTCTTTCTTTAGGAATACAGCTGGAATGAGGTTTTTGGCTACTTGTTCTAGTTTCCTTTCCGTTTCCAAATGTCTCTGCTTACCTATGCAGCCAGAAGCACATCCAGGATTTGAACTTTGTGTTCGAGTCAAAATCAATTATTTGTTCTTATTTAGTGAACTTTTTAATACATATGCTGAGTTTGAGTCAAAGCTACTGAGTTCCCATAAGTAATCCTCTACATCCGCCCTTGTATGCAGCTGAAATAAAGCTACTGCGATTTTCTTTTGGTCCTGTAACCTTTTTTTTACCTGTTACATATTTTGACTTGTTAAAAGCCTAGATGCTGCTCAAGGATCAGCAAAAGAATATGTGACAGGGAAATGTCTCTTTTAAGCTTCACCGCAAAGCTAGGATAAATTTGAATTCCTTATTTCTGTAAGATAATTGAAGAGATAAAGTGACATAGAAGGAAACTAACATGTATAAAATGTGAATGACAACGCGTTATGTTTCAACTTTTCCTTTGTTATTTTAACCTGTAACCATGCCTAAAAGTGTGAGAAAAGTCTAACTTTCCTGTCCTTTTTTTTAAGGAGATAGAGAGAAGTTGCATTTTCAATCTCTTTTAATGTACTGTGACTGCAAAATTACGGAGAAAACCAAGAAGCATTCGTTTATGTAACTCTGTTTAAACCGCCCTTATCCAAACTACTGATACCACACTATTTACCAAAAGAAATGAAAAATTGAATGGAATTTCCACCCCTATTAAATGATCCAGCCTGGGATGTAGCTGGGATTTTGTTTTCTTTCCAGCAAAATAGCTTGGACTGGCTTTCCTGAACCACTTTATGACTTCAGTTAATCTCAAGATTCACGTATAAATTTGGCAGTTTGCTACAATCGTTCCTGCAACTTTTGGTAGTCTCTTTTTTAATCTGCTTTCATGGACTGGTAATCCCTTTACTTCAAGTTGAACACTATATGAATGACAATCTTTATTCGCTACCTGTCATGGACAACCGACTGAACATATAGGTGAACGTGATAGTGAGCTTTCATCATTGCTTCTTCAGTACGGTTGTAAATACAAGGTTCCATAGTTATGCACGTATCTTCCTTTTGGCTGGATAAATTTGGAGAGGAGAGAGCCCATTTTTAAAAGCAGTATATGTTTTCTTCTCTTACGTCTTCTGATCAACTGTGCTGAAATTCTGCCTGATTCTTAGCAGGAGCGTCGAAAAATCAGGATGAAGGCACTTATTCTTGTCGGAGGGTTTGGTACTCGGCTGAGGCCATTGACTCTTAGTGTCCCAAAGCCACTGGTTGAATTTGCCAACAAGCCCATGATTTTGCATCAGGTAACCTTTATGAGAACTCTTAGTTAGCATTGCGTATTTTCAGTCATATGGTAGATTCTGTCATAAAGATCACTCTAACTGCACACCTACTCAAAGAAATATGCATTTTAATCGGATTGCTAATCTTGTTTTTCATCCTTTTAATTGGTTGTGTGGATTTTGAAACGCCATTTCACTATTCCAGTCTGTACTTTATCATATAAAAGAATTCGGAATATCTTATTTTCCACCCGATAAATTCAAACTATATTTGTCTATATGACTCCAATCCTTTCTTCCCTCATACAAAGTTTCAAATGTCCTAAGCTCTGGAATATCTAGGGCTTAATCACCCTGCCTCTGCCAGGTCATGATCTGTAAAAGAGAATGGGAAATCTCAATAGGAGTTTAATTGTGCCTTGCACTTTCTGTATGTTCTCTTTTTCTTTCTATTTTTGCTATTATATCAAAACACCAATTTTACTTAACATTTTGTATGTCAGATCGAGGCTCTCAAGGCTGTTGGAGTGACTGAAGTGGTCTTGGCTATTAACTACCAGCCCGAGGTCAGCATCTTTCCATTTAGAGATCTAAGTAAGGCTAAATCTTTAATGAGCAACTAATAGAATATACAAACTCCTTTTGATGCAGGTGATGCTGAACTTCTTGAAAGAATTTGAGACAAAACTTGGGATAAAGATCACATGTTCTCAAGAAACTGAACCACTTGGGACTGCAGGTCCCCTTGCTTTGGCTAGAGACAAGCTGGTAGATGATTCTGGTGAGCCGTTTTTTGTTCTTAACAGTGATGTTATCAGTGACTATCCTTTCAAGGAGATGATTGAATTCCACAAATCCCATGGAGGTGAGGCTTCTTTAATGGTGACTAAGGTAAGTTCTCAGTTACATTTCTGTTTGAATTTAACATAGTGTGGCCCTTCCTAGATTTATGAGGGCGATGTCGAGTATAAAAGGTAAATTTCACTGGTTGATACAGGTGGATGAGCCTTCGAAATATGGTGTTGTTGTCACGGAAGAATCCACTGGCCAAGTTGAGAGATTTGTGGAAAAGCCTAAGTTATTTGTTGGCAACAAGATCAACGCTGGAATTTACCTGCTGGACCCTTCCATTCTTGACAGAATTCAATTAAGACCAACATCTATCGAGAAAGAGATTTTCCCAAAAATTGCAGCGGAGAAAAAGCTATATGCGATGGTCCTACCTGGGTTTTGGATGGACATTGGACAGCCAAGGGACTACATCACTGGCCTTAGACTCTACCTAGATTCTTTAAAGAAGAAATCTTCACCGAAACTGGCATCAGGTTCTCACATTGTTGGAAATGTCTTAGTGGATGAAACTGCAACAATAGGAGAAGGATGCTTGATTGGACCAGATGTTGCGATAGGCCCTGGTTGCGTGATTGAGTCTGGGGTCAGACTCTCACGTTGCACTGTGATGCGTGGAGTCCGTGTTAAGAAACACGCATGCATCTCAAGTAGCATTATTGGTTGGCACTCAACTGTTGGACAATGGGCTCGTGTCGAGAACATGACCATTCTCGGTGAAGATGTCCACGTTTGTGATGAAATTTACAGCAATGGTGGAGTAGTCTTACCCCACAAGGAGATCAAATCTAGCATCCTGAAACCGGAAATAGTGATGTGAGAGTAATTTCTAGTGCTAGAAAGCAGTAAGTTATATGTTCAGTTTGTTCAAAATGTATTTGTCCTTTTCCTTTATTTGGTTTTCTATTTCCTCCTCTTCAATTGTAAAAGTAGGGGAATGTTGAGTGATGTAAGGTGATGTGCTGAAGGGTTGCTGTTGTGAAAGGTATGAGATGTTGGAAGGTCTGTTTCTTGTGTAATTTTCGGTGTATATACAAATAAAGAACTCTACTAGAGGTTGTGTTTAATTCGTTGGATTAACCATGTACAAATTAGTAGCGCCAATTTGTCTGTTTAGTTTCTCTGTAGCTTAAAATGGGGTATTCAGGAAGGCAATGGTTTACTAAATGATGAATGATTGCATCTGTATGGTAAACAGTCTACTTGGTTGAACAGACTCATGTATGTATTTTATCTCTAGTGTTCATGTGATTGACAGCTCATACATGATGTTTTACCTACTGCAAAAGAAAAAAACTGAAAAATAATACCCTTTCAATTTTAGAATCTACAACAATGGGGACCCAAGATATTGGTGGGACTTATTTCCATCAACTAAGAAACATTAGTTTTTGTCATGTGGTTGCTCTTTGCTCGTACTCTTTCGTCTATTGATACTCCAAAGATTCATTAAATATGAACTTTTCGTGATTGGACCTCTTTTCCTTTTTCTTTTGAAGATAATGGTTGTCTGTATTAATCTTAAACCATAATACTCTGATCCAGATATTGAAGTCATTAGAGACTAAATACCACTAATAAAAGAATTTTACACAAATAGGTGTCAGTCTGTTTACTTTTTCTAGCTGATATGCATAAATTATACAATAATTATATACGGTTATACATATATATTATATATTTGTCGACTATTTTTAATTTAAACGATTTGATGTGTAGTTATTTAGGTTAATTCTTGTTTTTTTAATTAGCTATTGTGGACCTTTTCTTGAAGCGAACCTTGTTTCAATAACCAAGTTTTCCTGTAAAGTGATAGAAAAGCCTTTATAAAGAATTATAATGCTTTGGGCAAACGACAAAATAACTTGACCCTACCAATACCATGTTGTATGTGAGCAAATTTTTCAGAGATTGAAAAGGAGATTAGGTTTAAAAACTAGCAATTTGTTAACAATATTGAAGCTTGTTGACCAAAAAGGCAATCAATTTACGTACTGATGGAATTGTGAATCAGATATACTAATTGGGCGTTTGGACATAAAAATTGTAAAATTTCCGGAAAAAAATCGAGTGAAAATAATATTTGAAAATTAGAGTTGCGTTTGGACATGAATATAATTTGGGGTTGTTTTTAATTTTTTGTGAGTGATCTGAAGTGAAAATTTTGAAAAATAGCCTTTTGGAGTTTTTAAAATTTTCAAAAAAATCTGAAATTCATCTTCAAGTGAAAATCAAAAATTTCATGGCCAAACATTAATTTCGAAAAAAAAATAAAAAAATAGAAAAAGGGAATCTTTTTTTATACCCAAACGGGACCTAGGATCCCAAATCTTGTTACAACTTTAAGGAGCTCGAGAAAGTTGAGTCCAACCAGAATTCATTGTCTTTATGCAATTAAAATTAGGTTAAAACTTATACTTAAACCTTAAAAATTTGTTACATTTCTTATGAAATAAAAATAATTTAGTAAAACATGAAAAGCAATTTAGTAAAACATGAACAAGAAATTGAGATAGAGAGAAGTAAGAGATTTCTTCTTCAATTTTGTATATTTTTTTATTTATTACAAGGCCTTTATATATGCATGAAAAGTGAAAAAATATGTCATTGAATATGTCATTAACCATTTGAGAGGGAGATCATATAGAAAGATCATGGAGTTACAATCGTAACTCCATAAGTATTAGAGTAGTGTGAGTTACAAAGATAATGGAGAAGAGTAGACATCCACCATATTTTAATTTTTCTTATAACACTCCCCCTTGGATGTCCATAGATAATATGCCTCGTTAAAACCTTATTAGGAAAAAACCCTATGGGAAAAAAATCCTAGTGAAGGAAAAAGAGTACACATGTTTAGAAATACGCTTTTTGGTTGCCTCGTTTAAAACCTTGCAAGAAAAATCCAGTGGGACAAATCCTTGTAAGAGAAAAAGAGTACAACGCGTATTAACTCCCCCTGATGAGAGCATCAATTCACATCCTTGAACCTTCGCATCCCAATCTTGTACACTAATTTCTTGAAGGGTGACGTCGGTAGAGATTTGGTGAACACATAGTCATATTATCACTTGAACGAATTTGTTGCATATTGATATCACCATTCTTTTGAAGATCATATGTGAAAAATAACTTTGGTGAAATGTGTTTTGTCCTATCTCCTTTTATGAATCCTCCCTTCAATTGGGTTATGCATGTTGCATTGTCTTCATACAAAATTATGGGTAGTTTGTCACACTTCAAACCACATTTGTCTCGAATAAGATGTATTATAGACCTCAACCATACACATTCTTGACTTGCTTCATGAATAGCAATTATCTCAGCATGATTAGATGAAGTAGTCACGATTGATTGCTTAGTCGATCACCAAGATATGGCAGTGCCTCCACATATAAACACATAACCTGTTTGAGATCGAGCCTTGAGTGGGTTAGATAAATACTTGGTATCGGCATAACTAACAAGATCGAGATTTCAATCATTGCCATCAAATAAGCCCATATCGGTAATCCCTTTTAGATACCGCAATATGTATTTGATTCCATTTCAATGTCTCCTTGTAGAAGCAGAGCTATATCTTGCTAAGAAATTAACTGAAAAAGTTATGCCAGGCCCCGTAGTGTTAGCAAGATACATTAGTGCACCAATTGCACTAAGATATAGTACTTCAGGACCAAGAAACTTTTCATTATTTTCATGAGGTCGGAATTGATCTTTATTTATATCGAGTGATCTCACAACCATTGGGAATACTCAATGGATGTGCTTTATCCATGTAGAATTGCTTTAAAATCTTTTCAGTGTATGATGATTGATGGACAAAAATTATATCTTTCATATACTCAATTTGTAGACCAAGACAAAATTTTATCATTCCAAGATCTTTCATTTCAAATTCTTTTTTAAACAGTCTACTGCTTTAGGAAGCTCCCCATGAGTTCCAATGATATCTTAATCATCAACATACACGACGATTATAACAAATTCAGATCCAGATATTTTTATAAAGACACAAAGACAAATTGAATTATTCTTGTACCATTCTTTCAACAGGTCCTCACTCAGGCGATTATACCACATGCGCCCTGATTGTTTCAATCAGTATACGAATTTTTGAAGCTTTATTTAATAAATTTCTTGGAGACCTTAATATACTTCAAAACAATTTAAATCCTTCAATGATTTTCATTATACGCATATCAAGTTTTTTTATGTATTACCAAATTAAAACCTGAAATAACTACATCCACCACAGGAGAACGTGTCTCTATATAATCAATGCCAGAATATTTATAAATCTTCTTGTGTCACAAGTCGTCTTTATGTCTATCGACTTGACCTTTTTCGCACAAGAATACATTTATACCACCACTGGCTTTATACTTTCAGATGTTAGGACTATTCGTCCAACTTCACATATTTTAGGTAAAATCAATCTTGATTGCTGGCCAATTATTTATCTGTCTATATTCCATGACAGATTTGAGTTCAAGATCCTCGTCAATATTAATAATATTGAGCACTATATTATATTAACAACATCGTCGACGATCATTTTATATCAGTTCAATTATTACCCAATAAAGACATAACTTATTGAGATCTCTTTATCTCATTATTTTCAGGTACCCGGGCCTCTCCCATAAGGTCTTATGAAGTGTTATGTCGTGGTGCTCTTCTAGAACTCTTGCCTCCTTATTATGACCATCTTGAACATTTGCTACTCTCCTTTTTCAAGGAGTTTTATCTCTGGAACCGATTAGTCTATTATGCTTTATATGTGTCATAAAATCTGTCCACCGGGGACGTTATTCTATTTGGAGCATTAGGAGCTGAAATATAACATTTAGCTTTGGGTCAGCAAATGCGTCTGGCAATAATTTGCAAATGAATTATCACTTGAACTTCAAGTTCATATTCTATTGTACGAGGATCTATATGTATTCATAATAATTCATTTCACGTATCAATTTCTCAGCTGTCCATTTTCTCCCCCTAATGTTGGGATCACTAACACATTTACCAACCTTCTTTGGAAACTCATTTTTATGCATTGTGGTGGCATAATTAAATCATATAGCACATCCATATTTATAGATAGAAATTATTTGGTTCCTGACCCTGAACCGATTGTGATAGGGAGAACTGTTCATAACTTGGCTAGATGCGTACAAGTGCTGCTGTATATTAAATAATATATCTCATACCAAATTTCGTTTTAGGAGTTTTGTTCTCATAATCAATGGTTTAGCTATAATTGGAGGTAAACAATTTTTGCCAAATAAACTTGGATTTAAACCAGTATTATCAAGATAAATCATCATAATTTATATTTTGAAACTTTGCACTAATAATTTGAGCAAGTAACTTTGCAAAACTCAAACTACAAGTTGAACAAATGCACATGTGACCATAGAATAAATGCATCTATTAAAATCATATAATAATAATAAAAGGTCTACATGACAGGTGACTGAGCCCATATATTTATCACATTTTATTTGCTCCAGAAATCAAGGGATTCAAGGAGCAAATCAAGTGGGGCAAGTTTCATGCTTTTTATGAAAAATACATTATTTTTCTTTAGTTATTATTATTATTATTATCAATATGGTGCATTAGGACTCAAACCAAATGTTTTACCCATATAAGACATCTTAGGCCATAATGAGTTGGAACTCGAGCTCAACTCTTATTATCATGGTGCATCGGAACTCACACACCCGATATTTTATTCTCACAATGCAGTGGACTTGAATTTACCTCTTTACTCTCAATCAAGGCATAATAGGCTAAACAATATTGAGATTCACTCTCAAGCCTTAATTTTAATCACATGCCAAGAAAGTTGTATACAACTAATTTGCAACTTAGCAAATCAAATTTGCCTTCCTAAATAAATATATAAACCTCAAATCTGCGTAAAGCTTTATCAATTATTTATAGCATCTAGTGAAATTATCTAGAGAAATAGAAGTTATTAAATAATAAACATTAGCAATTTAAATTTGGGTAGAAGCAAAATTTAAAAAATACTTCACAATATCAGTAATGATAGCAAAAGTAATATAAAATTTATCTCACAAAACTATTTTACTCTTGAAAACATAAAATTTTGTTTTGAACACTCTTGAGTATCTAGAAAGTGAAACTATTACTTTAACATTTCAATGGAAAGTGATAACTAGTCTTACGTTTCTTAAAGAAATATTCAGGTCTTGAAGAAATATATAATAGTTTAATTGTATAATTTAAAATGATGATAACTCCAACAAATTCATCTATTAAAATTATCTGATTTATATCAATCATAATATCAATCATAATGAATGATAACATATCATTTCCAAATTAATCAAGTTTCTATACTAGTGTAGTATTCAACTACCAAAAATTGACGATAATCAAAACGCTGGAAGTGGTTATAAATACATTTTAGATATTCAAATGTAGTTCATCATATTAAACCGAATACAACACCCAAAAATACGTAAATATGCACACCATTGAAAATAACAAAGTGACAGAATTAAATCTGACTTCTAAGGAGTAAGGAATATAAAATTTGACCTGTACAAATGGATAAACTCCTACCATTATGAAGAAAGATTAAAATAAAATTACCTAATAGACAAAAGGTTATGAGAAGGCTGAAGCCTTAGATGTTAACGAGTACCTACCATATTGAATTTATGAAAAAGATGAAATAGGCAGTTCGTGCTAATAACGTGTTATGAAATAAAAATAATTTAGTAAAACATGAACAAAAAATTGAGATAGAGAAAAGGAAGAGATTTTCTTTTTCAATTGTGTATATTTTCTTATCTATTACAAGGCCTTTATATAGGCATGAAAAGTGAAAAAATATGTCATTGAATATTTGAGAGGAAAATCACGGAGTTACAATCATAACTCCATAAGTATTAGAGTTGTGTGAATTATGAAGATAATGAAGAACAGTAGACATCCACCATATTTTAATTTTTCTTATAAAAACATTCAACTTTTCTTGGTTGGTTTCGTACTTAAGACCAGGCTAGTTAGGTGTCAGGTCAGTGGAAAGGGTAAATGAGGAGTATCTGGCATACATTGACTGTTTTTGATACTTATAAGCCAATGCTTTGACTACCAGAAACTAACTGCCAGTTTAAAGATGGAAAGCAAATGTTATGAGACAGGACCTATTGATAAGGGGATGGTACCTAATCAGGTGAAGTGGTTTTGTAGCAAGCCTACCAACCAAGTCAACTCATAATTTTATTTGATAACCCAAGAAACACCAAAAGTTAATATATCTCTCTCTCACAATCAGACTGCAGAATTGTAATATTAATGCAAATCAGCTCCAAGCTGATCTAGTATCTGCACCAGCTATTCTAGATAAAATTCCACCCTATATAGAAAGATGAAAGGACAAGAAAGGAGTTGATTAAAAGATGCCAGAAATCAAATTTCAAACATTACACCGTAATTGCAACAAAAAATGATGAACGTTTCATTTCCGAATATACTGAGTGTCATAACATGACTTTAGAAGAAAGCCAGTGAGAGGACATTTTAACTATTTCCTGTACATAATTTCTGAAATATTCACAACATGAATAGAAAAATAATATCCTTTAGTCAGAGGCTGCAAGCAAAAACATGACGCAGGAAGAGATAGCAAGAAGGAACCATGAGAGAAAAGACAAAGCCACTGAAATTTGAAACAAGTCGCAGGATAGTTTATTCTCAACTTTGCAGATATTTGTATCTTTCACAAACAAAACCACCACGCCAGCTGATGAGCAGGCAGCCGCGAGGGATAGAGTGGCTGTCACCTACATTATGACACGACCACAATCAGAAATTTCATCAAGGAGATTCAAAAGTACAATTTTCCTCGAAGGGAATTCAATTGAACCCCCTTCAGTAAACATGGCTTTGCCATTAACTACAATATGAATGCTAAATCAGTCTTGAACTGACACACATAAAAAAGGAACAATTTGATAGTGTCACCTTACACAAAAGGAGAAAGACAACGAGAATTTTGCCTGCTCACAGCCTGACTATTAAGCAGAAATTAATTTTTACAACATTACTCAGCGACAGGCAGGTGAGACATTGGAGGATCAATTCACCAGAGAAACAATGAAATCTTTGAAAAGAAGTTAATTTTCTGCATTGTTTGCCATGATTTCGTTTCTCTTTGTTTTGGGAACTTTCAGCAGTTGGGGCGCTACATTTACTGAACTAGTCATAAAAATAGCAGTTATAGTTACGAATTAGTTAAAATATTACGTGGAGAGTCATTGTTTACAAGATTAAAATTATAAAACTAGAGCTGCACCACAAACTTGAGCACATACTTAATTAGCAAGTCAACACTATATTAGCTTTTTCTAAAGGGTAACCATGGCACTCGGCACTCGCTATATGGACAATAAAAGAGTGTATGAGCAAAATTTGGCACAGGTCAGGGTGCCTATCTTTGGCTTGAGGTCTAGTTTTCCTTGAATGAATGGAATATTTGGATACACCGACCCCATACTAATATCATGTATTATACTTTTATCTCCAGTATAATCTCAAAGTTTCACCTATTTTCCAATTCATTCTAATATTAAGCATGCATGCCTAGTTGAATATTAACTTCAAAACATAAAACGCATTCGAACTACCATGTGTAAATATCGCAATCGTGTGACAATCGCTTCCTGAAAATACTTCCAATCTTCCTAGCTTCTACATTCGGGACAGAGTAGGCAGTACTAACTCAAGCTCATCCTGAAAACGTTTGACTTTGGGGTAGCAAACATAAACCCTGATGTATGGCTTTTTATTCTTCTTTATCTTCTTTTTTTTGGTATGGGCGGAGGGATGTACTCGTGCACAAAGCACGTCAGAACATCCAAAAGTGCATATCAACATTAGCATCTTATTACTGAGTTACATACAAATTCATGGTATAAGACACCTTCAGAACAAAAGAATATCTGTAGGTTGTGCAATGGAAAGTGGTCGTCATATAAACCACTTGATGCAGTTCCATATCAAGTAAAGAAGATAGTGCGAAATACATGGATCACTTGGCTTCGGCATGCTTGATGGAAATGGACATAACATGATCTTAGCAGAACCTAATAATCCTTTAAATAAACATATACTAGGTCTTTCTCATTCTATAAATTACATATGAAATACATAAATAAGCATACTCTTGGACTCTTGGTCTTTCTCGTCCCATATGCAGACTCTAGATATCTTTCCACTCAACTTGTATCATGTAAAATTTTAAAGATTAGAAGCTGCAAAATTTAGCTACCCAACAAAATGTATTTCATGTAAATCTTAACCCTTTTATTTTCTGTGCTGTCCTATGAGTTAGGATGTGGCGGAAAGTAAAATAGCTACTTTTCAGTATGTAGTAGCAGAATAGCATATTTCTTTTTAAAGAGAAATTAAACTCTTTGTAAATGACACATGGTGCAGCCCCTCACTAGTTAGTTTGCTATCTGTTACCCTGGAACGTTTCTAGACTTTGGAAAACGACAGTAGTGATCTTGAAGTTAACATAGCTAAATAAATAGCCAATCTCTGTTTCTTCCATTTTCTTAACTTAGAAAGGGGTTCTAAGTTTTGACGGAGTTAGGACCTGTAAATTCTATCCTGGTAAACTCTTTTAAATTCTTTTTGGGGGTGAGGGAGAACCTTCTTACCTAAGTGAGAATGCTTGAAAATATGCATTTGAGAAGCAAATAATGTAGTCTAATTTGATCATGTTTTTGTTGGATTAGTAACTCTTCACAGGTAAGCATTGATGCATGACAAAGAAGACAAAATGGAGAAGATTACCCAATCACCAACCACGAACAAGCTCACAAAGACATGATTCCGCAGATCTCTCTTCAATCTTAAAGCATGGATATCCAAGCAGGCAAGAGCAAAGCTCCACAATACTTGCAACCCCATTGATGCTATTAAATAACTGAACCAAGAAAATCAGGCATTTAGAGCATGAGCCATAATTGAGTCATTGAACACTACAAGGAATAGTATTACGAAAGGAAGAACAATGCATTTAAGTTAGCAAGAATTCTGAAGGTAAGCTTCATTTTATAGTCTAAAGAAAGCAGTCTTGAGCTGGAGAATCAACTCCTTGTTTTAGCAGAACCTACAGTTAGTGCAAAGTAGAGAGAAACAATAGGAAGGTAATAAAACAACAACAACAACAACAACAACAACAACAACAGACCCAGTGTAATTCCACAAGTGGGGTCTGGGGAGCGTATTGTGTACGCATACCTTACCCCTACCTTCAAGAAGGCAGAGGTTGTTTCCGGTAGACCCTCGACTTAGGAGAAGGTAATAAAAGCAATACTAAAAAGATAGTGGACTCAACACTGATACTTCAAAGGAAACTACTTAATGTTGGGTCACTATGTTTGTCTCTAAGAACAAGATAGCAAGTATCCACTCCTTTCCTTTAAATGGAATACGAATTAGAAAGAAGGAAGCAGAATTAACTTATTAACCAAGCATAAGTTAATTGCCAAAATATGGTCCAGCGGATGGAAATACATATTTAAGAAGGCCAAATTGATCTACAGGCAAATATTATCATGAAGTATGACAGCATATTTGCTCAATCCCAGATTCAATCAGAGTTGCCAAAACTGGGAAGAACATGTGTTTTTCCAAGATTTGGAAAGCAAAACTAAAGCTTCACTGTCCTTTTTTCTAGTGATTTACTACCTTATCTGCAAACTTGTAGAATTCTTATGCACTACAAATTCTAGAGAGGACAAGTACTGGAGGATAAAACTTTACTTTCAACAACCAAAAGAGGAAATTAAATAAAAGAACTGTGGCTATAAAAGTAGGTTCTTTTTTACTGACTGAGAATGAACAAGCAGAATTACATAGAAGAGCTAATGTGCTACAGAAATAATGTCTCCTAGCTCAGATATCTAAACATGAGTCTGATACTAGTAAGACAAGCTTTCTTTTGAACTTGTATTCCATATATACAGCACATATACTCTATTTGACATATAAACCGTTTGCCCAGATTATTAAAAGATATAATTAAAAAGAAAAGATCAAGAAGAAGAGAGTGAAATACCAAAAGGCAGTGGAGCTGGAGAAACCAGAAGCAGAGGCCATAACTGCAATAGAAGCAGAAGCAAATAAACATTGACCCATCCTCAATATTAGCCCACTCACCTTCCCTGGACTCCCAAACACCTCCTTCATCGAAAGAATCTAACACTGAATTTTTACAGAGAGAAGATGGGGAATGTTTAAAAACATTCCCATAAGATGCTGTTCCTGCAGATTTGACAACAAGATAGATAGAGAGAGAGAGAAAACAATTTTTCTTTTGGAAAAAGAGAGATGAAATTGGTGTTTGAATTTTCTATTAGCGTTTGATTAGGAAAACTGGAATGCTGACAATAGTAAAGTCAAGATAGGAGGGATTGTTCTTCTCAATCTCCACTTGTAGAATGACTTTTCCCATCTTTATACCTAATCAATTTTCTAACAAAAACAGAGTAATCAAACAATAATTTACCCCATATTGAAAAGGAAATATATATTTTTAAGTTGGTTAATGAATAGGAAAAGAGGAGGTTATTTGGAAAAGCAAGAATGATGTGAGATGTGATGTCTGGTGAAGCTAATCAAAGTTTCAACGAACCCACTTATAGGGAAATCATTTCTTTAAATCATACCAAAGCTCCCTTATCGTCTACTGGAACCCAATCTCTTCTAAAAGTTGAACATAAACTACTTTAACAAACGGAGAAAATTAGGAAAGTACGATTATAACAAGACAAATTCCCATAAACAGGACTCGGAGATAAACAGGACGAACAAAAGACCTGATAAAAAAAAAGTAAAAAATTACCATAATGATAAGGACTCGGAGAATATTATAAAAATGGTCCTTTATCTTTGAGTTAGGTCTAAAATAATCCCTTAAATATACCCTAGAGTAGTTTTAGTCCATTATTCGATCAACTAGCTATGTCGTGTCAAATTCGCATCGAAAAAAGAGATTACAATAAACATTGGATTGTTATTTAATCGAAACTATGAAAAGAAAACATTTAACGGGAACTCGCATACGGAGTTATAATTTTTGCAATTTCTTTTTTGTCTATTTCTGGAATCTTGTGCAAATATCATAATAACACAAAAATATGAAAAATACATTAAATTAAATTCAAGAAATTGAAAAGGATTAAAGAAGATCATAGAAAAAGAAAATCTTGCATGCTTATAAACGTATAAATAATGTAGTAATATTAAAGTTATCAAGAGATAAAAATTAGCTATAACATCTTAACCTTCGAATAACTAAAATAAAAAAAAAATACTGTCAAACTAAATATTCTGCCTTCCTAAACTTAAATAATCAATAAATATTATCAGTGCTATAATTTAAAATTACCCCTTCATGAATAAATATAAAATCACTTTCAATTAGTAAATTCGTCAATTTTCGCAATAATAGCTTGAGCCACGGTAAAATTAACCGCATTTTATATACTTTTGAGAGACTAAACATGAAGACCCAATAGTAAGTGAATATAAATATCGGCTATAAATTTTCAGAAAAAATATTTAAATAGTATTTACCCTCAAGATGTTCTCAATTATAAAATATAAAATATCATGGCTCATTATTTGAGTTAATCTCGATCTTTCATTTTCATATTGATAAAGAGAACTTTGTATCAGTCATGCGTTAAAACAATTTGACTGTCAATAGTGCTAATTAAAAAATTTAACCCATAATTTGTGCAGGAATCGCTGGGCGAACCTGAACGTGTGATTAGATCGCACGATCAGACACTTGCAAAGTAAGCGTCACAAAACAAAATCCTACACCCAGGATGTTTTAAATTACTGCCTGTAATTATTTTGAAACAACCATATTTTCTTTCGTCTAGGGAAATCCCAAAAAAAAGTTAATAAGTAACTGTAAAGAGTGAATCTTGTCTTTCCAGTTGAGCAATTTTACCGAAAAGAACCGCCTCGCTCTCTTGACTCTTGGAAAAATGTCTTAAACCCTCATAAAAAAGAAAAAACCCTAAAACGCTAAATCTCTCTACCAAAACCCTTACAGAAATGGCGCTCTCTAACGTTATCAGAAGGACAGCTTCGCTGGTTGTACCCCTTGCAGCTCGATCCATACGAAGAAGTCAGAGTTACCACCACTCTGCTCTCTTCTCCGCCGTCATGAACCGCCGTGCCGTGCATCGGAACTTGTTCCCAAGCTCAGTTCCATCTACTCTGCATCACTATTCTACCCAGCGATCAAGCTCTGATGAGTCGCTCCTCAAAGTGATTCAGTCTGAAATCCAATTTGCCGAGGAGTCCGATGAACAAAACAAGGTTTCATTCTCCCTCATTTTTTTTTTTCACTTCCCCCATTTATCAATTTCCACCCTAAAAATTATTAATTTACTGCGGGTGAGAAGACGTCAAAGCTTTTTGAGTTCTAGTTTACTGTTTCTGTGAATTACTACGTTATGATCCTACTTTTTAAGGAAATAACAACAGAAATGCGACCAACTTAACTGTAATTTTGATTCGTTCGTCAACCAACAGCAACTTTCATTACTACTAATAACCTCATTCAAATGGTAATTACAGTCAAACTCTGCAACTGATCAGTTTAAGGAGGAACTGAGGAATAGAAGAAGAACTAAAAAGAGAGGAAGAGATTTAAGAAGGAGAAGGAATAGAGTTTAGAGAGTAAAAACAGAAGAGAGAAAGAACGCAGGGAGTCTAGAAATAATGGACGAAATTATAATTTTCAGATTCCATAGTCTGTCTCTCATGTTCCATTCTTTGCAGTATATATAGATGAGTTAATTGCAGGGTTGCTATGCTCAAAAGTGTGAGTACCCAACGACTTACTGTTAGGCTGAGAAGATGTTAAGATTGTGAGTTTTTAGATTAGTCTTCCTGTTTATTGCTACTACCCTATTTAGTTTGTGATAGGCTGCTACCTCTTTCATGAATCTTGTAATATTTCCCCCCTAGTTCTTTAGTTTTTGCTTTGGGCTGTCCTGTAGGGTTTGAGGAGAAAGGGGAACTTAATAATAAAGGTAAAATCTTGACTTGTTTTATGGTACCTTGTTTTGTTCGTAATGACAACGGCGTAAAGCATGAACTGTAAGTTTCTTCGCCTGATATTCAGTTTCATCTAAGGATTGTGTGATAGAACGATTTCAGAAGCTTGATTAAAATCTCAGGTTAACTGCTGTTGTAATTTGAGGGACACTGTGAAATCTCGGATCATTTCATCTTATTTTCCTTCACTAGAAGGCAAACGATTTGTATTTGCAGTAGTGACAATTCTAGATCTGCTTTGGATGCTATATTTGATCTTGGAATGTTCTCTGTCTCAAGTTCCAGCATTAGATTATATTCTGTTTCCTGTTTGAGTCTACTTGGGAATTATGATCATCTTGCTTGATATTTTTAGGCTGATGAGGTGCCTGAGGGTTTCCCCTTTAAGCTTGAAGACCATCCCGGACAGCAGACTATATCCTTGACTAAAGAGTATCACGGTGAAAGTATAAATGTTGAAGTTCATATGCCTGATCTTGTTACTGGTGACGACGATGAGGATGGCAATGACAATGATGATGCTGAAAGGCCCGCTCAATCTCAACTTCCCCTTGTTGTTAGAGTGTCTAAGAGGAATGGTCCATGTTTGGAGTTTGGTTGCACAGCGTATCCTGATGAGGTTGTAATTGACCATCTAGCTATTAAAGACCCTGATGCAGCTGATGAACAGATTGCTTATGAAGGACCTGAATTCTCGTAAGTATTGGTGCTGTAAACGAGCACAAAATTTTATTCAACTTTCCTTCATCTATATTTGGGCTAGACATGAATTTTCTTTTCGCCTAGGCCTTTGGTACTAATTGAAACACTTAAACTGTTTTTCATCAGGGATTTGGATGAGAACCTCCAGAAAGCATTTCACAAGTATTTGGAGATCAGGGGAATCAAGCCCAGCACAACAAACTTCTTGCACGAGTACATGATCAAAAAGGACAGCAGAGAATACTTGATGTGGATCAAGAATGTGAAGAATTTCATTGAAGCATAGGTGCATATGCAGCAATTATCTTAGATATTCTTCTTATTTGGTTTGGCTGATGTTATTTTTGGCAAGCTATGTCAGTCATTGATCAAATTTGTGAACCATAAGAGAAATTCTTATTGAATTAGTGATAAACGTATGATAGCGTTCCTATATGAAATGGAGTATAGAAAATTTTCTACTCAAGAGAGTTGTTCTATTTGAGTTGTTGATGGACATATGAGAGGCCCCTTATACGAAATTTAAAAAAAATATAGGGAAAAGAGTTAAACATACCCATCTATTTAATAGAATATTTTTATTTTAATTGAAGAGAACAATATGTTGCAACAAATTATTTCAGTTAGTTCTTTTCTGTCTTTCTTTATTTTGTTCTATTGTGATTTCTTTATTTTCGTTATTTGTAGCGGAAATCTCTCTTTGTTATGTTATTTCCCCCGAAATGTTATGTCATTCTATCTATCTATTTTTTTTGAAATTTTTTGTTGTCTTTTTAATTTTTTGTTCTCGTGAAAACCTTGTCATACGTATGGGGGAAATGAAAGTAAGAGCAAAAACGAAAAAGAAAACGTACAAACATAGCTCTTTTAGCATAAATATGATAATCATTCATTGCAATTGCTTTTATTAAATGAACGCTTCAAATACATATAATAATTTTATTGGCCACTCATCATATATTAGTTGTTAACCACATCATGGTAACAAAAACATGATTTATTTTATTTTCATTCTCAACAACATGAGATGCATAAATAGGGAAACTCGGCCTGGCAATTGCAACATTTGAATTTTTTACATAATCCAAAGCAACCTGAAATTGTCCAAACAAATATATCAAAAAATTAAAATTTTTATCATAAAGACTCCTCATATAATAGAAGAAAACATGATGAGCCGATCCAAATCAACGAGAGAGTATGTATTTAGAAACCAAAATTTTGATTATAAAATAATTATACTTAGAAGACTTTCAATCATTTAGCGTATTTGTTTTTTAAAAAACTATCAGGACATTCTGACATCCAAATATCAAATTTAAACATTCTGAAATGTGAATGTGATTTTGAATAGTTAAATATATTCAACATCAATACATCATGTATACATTTAGTTATATATGCACATTTTGAGTTGAAAATATATTTTCTATTAATATGAGGACAATAATAATCAAAAAAGAAAAAAAGTAAAAAAATCCTTAAAACTAAGTTACCTGAAACAGACACACGAGTGCTACGACTTGCGGTAGACAGCTTTAATGACATTATCGGTGATGTTGCTTCTGGTGCATATGATAGTGTTGCTAGAGTTAATGGAGAAAAAAGAACAAAAAAGACAATAATGATGTAGCCCATAGAATTAGTTGATTTTGCCATCTTAAACAATGATATATTTTGCTTGTAAGTACTTTTTTCTCTATAGAAGTGCTTATAAGTGTTTAATAGCTTCTCCTTTTATAATAGAGATAGGACATGATTTTGAAGTTAGTAGTGTTGATTTTTTAGTAAGTAGTTACATCAATTATTAGCATGAAGCATAGGAGATTCAATCAAATTATAAAAATAATAAACAGACACATGTAATTTATTTTAAGATTCTATAAAATTGAAAATAAAATTATCAACCAGATAGATGTATGAATCAAATACTATATTTATATCCAAATAGTTATATTTTATCTTTTGTTTTTTGGAATTTGTTTGACATTTTTCATTTATTCCTTGTGCAGTTAC